GTAGTAAAAATGCAATCCTATTCTCTTCTTGTAATCCTAGCACTACATGTAACACTACAAATTATGATACATATACATTACATATCAAACAAAGTATTGCATGTACATGTACATACATGTATATGTACATATATGTAATCTTCAATAGTAGTAACACATGTACAATGTACATGTACATGTGTATGTGTATGATGAATGTTAGAAGTGTTATTTTTGAGAGGGCATTAGTCCATTACTGACTTCTTAATGCTTTTTCCTTAAATGGTAGTTCACTTTATAAAATAACACCAAGTGGTTGTTGAACTTCCTAAGAATGATCCACGAATACCTAATACATACTGTAACGATTTTCTTTTAAATCATTTTTTAGGCATATTCTGTTTATGACCCGGAGGTGGGCTATTGTCAAGGGAGCTTGTTTATTGCTGGAATACTATTAATGAATGTATGCCCATCTCTCTCTCTCTCTCTCTCTCTCTCTCTCTCTCTCTCTCTCTCTCTCTCTCTCTTTTTCTCTCTCTCTCTCTCTCCCTCTCTCTCTCCCTCTCTCTCTCTCTCCCTTCCTCTCTCTCTCACTCTCTCTTTCTTTCTCTTTTTCTCTTTCCCACTCTTTTTTCCTCTCTTTCTTTTTGTCTCTCTCTCTCCCCCTTTCCCTCTATTATTGTCTTTCTCTCTCATTATTCTACAGATGCCTGAAGAGGAAGCATTCTGTGTCTTCACTCACATGATGAGTCACCACAAACTGAGAGAGCTCTACAAACCAACCATGGCCGACCTGTCAGTCCGGTTTTACCAGCTAGAGAACCTGGTTGAAGTGAGGAAAAGGATCGAAAAAGATTTAGTGACATACATGCATGTTTCATATTTTTAGGAATTATTTCCAAGATTGGATATTCATTTCAGAGCACTAGTCAGTAATTTTTCAATTAGTGTATTATTAGTGTACAAATTACATGTACAACAGTGAATACATGCATGTACATGTACAGTGTATGATTATATTACAGTTTAATCTGTTGAGATATTGAGTTAATGGTTTATAAAACAAATACATGTACATGTAAGATGTACATGTATTTGTTCTTCTGGTACATTGTATGCATTATGTTATTGTTACTATTAATTTATTATTATTATTATATTTATTATTATTATTATATTTATTATTATTATTATATTTATTATTATATTTTATTTATTATTATATTTTATTTATTTATCTATTTTAGGGTTTCCATACTTCAATGTACTCCAGCTCCTGGTTCCTGACCCTCTTTGCCTCTACTCTTCCTTTGTGTGCTGCTTTTAGAGTACTAGACATATTCCTCATAGACGGGATTGAGATTATATTCCGTGTTGGTCTGGCACTCCTGGAGAGAAGTCAAAATGAACTCTTGAAGCTAGACATGGAAGACATGACCAAAGTAATAATTATGTTGTTATGTACGTATTTCGTGACAAGCAAAAACCCATTAGTTCCATTGTCACGAAATCTGTGACTAGCAAAAACCCATTAGTTCCATTGTCACGAAATCTATGACAAGCAAAAACCCATTAGTTCCATTGTCACGAAATTTGTGACAAGCAAAAACCCATTAGTTCCATTGTCACGAAATCTGTGACAAGCAAAAACCCATTAGTTCCATTGTCACAAAATCTGTGACAATTTAATAAAATAGAATTTAATAAAAATGTGAGGAGGTGATTTTTATCTGCTTTTTGGAAAAAAAGCATAACTCTTGATTTATTTTTGTAGCATTTTCAAAAAGAAATGAAATCTCTATCGGAGGAAGACTGTGACACTCTTTTTGAAGCTGCCTTCAGAGTTAAAGTATCTTCAAAGAAACTGAAAAAGTAACGAGAGAAAGAAAGAGAGGGAGGGAGAGAGAGGGAATAGAAAGATCATCTTATCTTATTATTTCTCTAGGATGGAGAAAGAGTACAATCAAAGGAAGGAAAGGCAACAAGTCGAAAATTCGGAATTAATTGTAAGTGAAATGCATCACATGACCTTGCTCTAGGTCACATGACTTTCATGTGATAATCACATGATTTTTCAGAGACTCCAAGACGACAATTGCGAGTTGGAAAAACGAGTTTTAGCTCTAGAGAAGGAATGTGCAGGTTTGGCTGATCGTCTAATACAAGTACAAGATTAAAATTACATTATTTATTTATTTTATTTATTTATTTATTTTTATTAATTAAGGGGCAAGTGACCAGAGCCCAGGAGTACGAGGAGATGTATGGAGTTAGAAGAGAACTGACTACTTTAAGAAAGAAAGTGGCCTCCTTTGAGAAGAAGGAGAAATCACAAAGCAACCACGTAATTAAATAACTTACCTAATGTAATATTGCAAGAATAATGTGCATGTACATTTTAAAATGAAATTTACTAATTTTTGAGTGGATTTTCTGTACAGTGTCTCTTCTCTCTATCACTTTATCACTTCATTTTCTTTTCAATCTTTTCTTTTTTATTTCCCTCTCTCTCTCTCTACTTTAGAAATCTCGGTCTAACACTCCTGAAGTTCATCCAACGAAATACTTGTCTCCATTACCTTCTTCAATGGATTTCAGGGACAGAAGTACGTCTGCTCCGTCGCTAAGAGACACTCCTCAATCAGCCTCCACCTCCTCACTGGTTTCAATTGAAGAAGGAACCAAAGAACAGAGCTCACAGGTAGAGGGTCTGATATTGAATGTGAGGGAATGAGAAAAATCCTCTTATAATAGCATCAGCAAAATGATTGAATACATGTATATACAAATATATGTACATGTACATGTACACAGACTTATAAGACATATATGTATGTTGTGTTAAAATACATGTACATGTACATTTTAGTATATACATGTAGATTATCCTGAAATAGATTATACATGTACAATGTACATGTATTTACATTGTGTACACTGTACAGTAATGCTACATGTGTATATACATTTAGATGTACTGTACATGTACATGTAGGTATCGGCAACTGCTGAGGAAGAAACTCCAACACCACTCCCAGAAACCTCACCTGCAGACCCTCCCCCTCCTCACTCCCCCTCTCTTGATGTAGAGACCCTCCTACGGGAACTGGCTATTGTTAAGATTGAGCGTGCCGAGTGTGCTGATCTATTAGAGAGGAAGGCACTGGAGCTGAGGAAACTGAATAAGAAATTCTCTGATACTGAAAAGGAATTGAAGGAAGCACACGAGAAAATAGCTCAACTCCAACGAGAGAAGGTGAGAATTAAAATAGCGTTCATGTACAGGCACATGATCTACATGTGGTACATTGAAGTTTGTTTTTACCCCAAAGTTTAATGCAAAATGATAAAATTCCACTATACTATTTTTGAAGAAATCCCTTCACTTTTTATAAATAAAACTACATGTACTAGACTACTAGTACTTCAGTTACTTATGTTATTCTTCTAGATTTGCCCCAAGTGTGGCTCCAATGCTGAATCTATTGATGGAGTAGCCTCATCAGTCAACAGTGAATCAAGCAAGCAAGCAGTCGCCATAGCCACCATAGATGACCTTGAACTACAGTTCAACGAGCTTTTATCTAATTTAGAGAATGTGATACAGACGCCATTAGAGTACGAATCAAAAGAAAAGGAGAAAGAGGAGGAGGAGGAGGAGGGAGAGGAAGAACAGTTGGACAATAGTGCCAGCGTTGGTGGGAGTGAGACTTAATTGGCTGATCGTATTTTTAGTTTTTAACTTTTCATTGTTTGAATAATGCTGTATCATAATCACGTTCGTACATGTACATGTGTATATTAATCTCTTTATGTCTCTTCTTTAGCTTTTTTTTATTATTTATTGTATGCTCCTTTTGGCAATTCACTTGTACAGTACATGTATGCTTTTAATAAACGATTATTGCTATTACTATTATATTTATTATCATTAGTAGTAGTAGTAGTATATTGTCTTTCCATGGCAAATAACTGCCTATTAAATGTAATGGAAACCCAGTCTCCAATTGATTCATGATGATATTCATAGTATCAAAACATGATTGACTCTGCATGATATTCATGTCCTGAGACAAGTGCATGTGGGTGGGGCAGAGTCACTCAAAATCAACAGCATTTTATGACTGCTAGTGGATTGGATTGCTTTGTGGAGTTAAAGTCTATGGATCACTGCGTATAAAGTGAAGAAAGCAATGTATATTCTTTAATTCATTTCTTTTCATTGCAGGCAGCTATATATATAAAAGGATAAGTGTATGATATTTCTGATTTCTTACTTCATTGAAGCATGGCTCAGGGTATCATTGGAGCAGACTTGGAGCTAGAGATGAAGAACTATGTTGCTTCAATGGTGACCTCTTCGACTACGTCTCTCTCTTCATCTGATGTCTCAGCCCTTGGGTCCCAGAAGAGTGTACGCTGTCCTATCTGCCTAATGAAATACAAGGATCCCAGGAGACTGGCCTGTGAACATACCTTCTGCAAAGACTGCCTACAGGTAATGGACAGTGTAGAAAAGCCAGTTATATATACCAGTAGTATTATGTGTGATTATTGTTAATTATTATCGTGCACTTGAAAAGCTTCATGCATATGTCTGCACTGTATTTTCAGCACCTTTGTTTATATTTAAGTATTTTTGTATCTTTTATTGTTATTATTCTTGTATTGTTCTATTTAGGCTGTATTAAAGGGTCAGAAACGTGACAAGACTCTACTGAAGTGCCTCATTTGTCAAGAGCCAGCTCAGCTCCATCACCCTGAAAGCGTCGAAGACCTTGACAAAGCCGTGATATCGAGCAACATTGAAACAGCTCACAAGAGTTTCAGCAGGAACGAAATACAGTGTTCCAAATGCAGTGGAAGGCTCTGCAGCTGCTGTGTCCATGTTGTCTGCAATAAATGCGGGAAATATGTCTCAACAATGCATTGTAGGACCTGCAAGAAGTCTGTATGTACTCGCTGCACGCGTGAACATACCCAACACTTGTTGGTGGAGATTGAAACTGAGCACGAGATGCTGAGACAAAAGAAGAGAGAGGAAGAGGAAGAAGAGGAATGGGAGAGAGGGAGCGGGAGCAGCAAAGACAGTGGAGGAAGTGGTAATATGAAAACAAGTTTCAAGTATTAATGTTTTCAATTCTTTTATGTGCAGCAAATCAGTATTACAGTGTCAATATTGAAGACTCTGAAGAAGACTATATTAATGAGGGTGAGGAAGGAATGGTGGCTGCAAGTAAGTGCAAAAATGATTAGCAAACTGTATATTATTTGAAGTTAAAGTTAATCCTCATTCCTATGCACTGAATAATAATAATGATAATGATTTGAGCCAGTCTCTGGATGAAGAGGAGGGAAGGAGAAGTGGTAACAGCAGCAAAGACAGTGATGGGGAAGGTATGCAGACAAAAACACTTATAAGTTTTATTTAAAATAATATTTTACTACTAACACTGCATGCATAGTCACTCAATCATATGCTATTAATGATATTGGTAATGACTCAGAAGAAGAGAGAAGTCCTACTAACAGTCAGGGCAGTAGTGGTGAGTGTGAGCCTATCATTATTATACATATTTGCATTGTGTGTGAGTAGGAGGTCCTACTGGTTGTTATACTGTTACACATGATGAGGAGGAGCTGAGGGTGAGAGATGAAGAGGTGCAGGATGATGATGATGATGAGGAAAGCAACAATGAATTGGAAAGAAATATAAGTAAGTCCCAATTAGGACTCATTGTTATTATTTTAAGGGTATTACTGCCCATTGCACAAAGCTAAACAGCTGATACTGTAATTGTGTCAACTGTTAACCACAAGAAAAGGACAAGAGAGTCCAACCCACAATAGCCTTTTACAAATAACTGAGTATAAAAAGAAGAAGGATTACTACTGGCCTTAATCGACACTTACCACTTCTCTTACAGTATGTGGTACAATTTTTGAATGGGTTATCTTAACCCTGTCTTCTAGTGGTGGGCGATACTGGCCAAAATGGATTCGATACGATACCGATCGATATCAGTTCATATCGAGAGTATCGATACAGTTTTGATACGATATTTAGACCACACCTATGGAGTCACACCCCTTATTATTGACTGTTTTTCATCGATGTTTTCATGCACGTGTATCCACGTGTGTGTATTATACGTCATTAACTTATTAAAATTTTAATTATTAATATTATTTAACCATAATAAATGGGCGTGGTCAACGTATCGATCCAGATTCCTTCAAAATTTCGATACCGATACGAATCGATACCGTAAAATATCGTTTGTATCGATAAAATATCGATATATCGCCCACCACTACTGTCTTCAACTTTTTAAATTTTGATATATACAATTAAATATTTGAAAAGCTAAGCATTTGGAGCACTTTAAAAAAATGTTTTTGTAAAAAAAATGTTTTTGTAAAAAATCCAACTTTGATTGGAAAATGGAAATTACTCAAATTAGTTCAAACTTTTCATACAACACAAGAATATATGTGTATCAGAAAAGCCCTGTACTATAGTACAGGGACTTCAGCCCAATTTTTGTGTCTCTCATAAAAATTAATTAACACCTTGTATCATTAGTTCGTAATCAAGTCCATCAAGAGCATGATCCTTCAATCACTGATGATGATGATGATGATGATGATGATGATGACATTCCTGATCATATTGAAGCTAACGTTATAGTAGCAGGAGGTAGATATGAAGAGAGAGGAAGAGAGACAGAAGAAACTGATGAATCAACTAGTAGTATTGATGAAGATGGTCCTGATCGACCTCCTACAATGATTGATGATGATGAGTTTGATTTGAATGAGCGTGTTAATGAGACTGTTCAGGGTAAGTAAATTTTGCAATCAATAATAGTATCAGTGTTAATTCAGCATCAGTGTTAATGTCAATATCATATCAGTGTTAACATCATAGTGAATCAATCTATTTATTTAGTCAATCCAGTTTTGTTAAGGAGATTACAGCCCTCAGCTCCTTCCAATGAGAAAAGACAAAGTAAAATTGTTTTAGTTCCCAAGCCAATAGGTAAGTAACCTTCTGTATATGAAAGTATTATATTAATCATATCTTTATTTAGAAATGGAAGAATTGGATGGGCCACCACGCTATAGAGAAATTCGTAAGATATTTTAAAATTAATTTAACATTATTATTATTATTATTTTATAGGTAGCATGAAATGGTGTGCTAGGATCACGTTTGGTCTTGTGATAGTTCTTGTATTCTGCATTTTTGCTTTTGGTGGTCTAGCACTAACAGCATTCTTCCTTTCCCCCAGAAACACAGACACCTTTGTATCTGAAGGAGAGCTGGTACTTCTCTCTCGTCTAAAGCCATTCTGGTCCCGAGACTTAACCGTAACCTCTATTGGTCCCTATGATTCTCCTTATAACTACCAAACAGAGCTCTATCTACTGGATTGCGATAACTTAGTGACATCAAGTGTAGCCTATAGTGTTTTTTCCAGTGGTAGTCAGCTCTCGTCAGCTACTGATTTGACTGCTGATATACCCACAGCTCCCAATTCTAGTTACGCTTATTTAATCTCAGGCTCAACTCTTAGCTTTAACATTACAATCATCAGTGATACCACATACAGGGAGTGTGCTTCAGAGCTCAACATATACGAAAACTATGATGATTTTATTAACGAGGATGGCTTGAAAGCAGTGCAGACAAACTGCATCAATATTAGAAAACCTTCCTCTGCTCAGAGTCCGACGATTGTCACATTCTCTTCGACGAAAGATTCGTTTTATTTCGTCACAGTCTTTGTCCCTCCCTCTGCCTCTTATCATGTTAATGTAAGTGTGGAGAAGATATTCTACACTAACTCAAGTCTAATGAATACTAATGACTGTACACTGAGATCTACTAGATCCAATGCTCTTGATGTCTACGAATGCTCTTTCTCACTTCTGACAGATTTTGTCATTGACCTCAATGAGAAGTGTGTATTAGCTGAAACTACTCCATTACCACCTTACTCTTCACCATCAGTCGTTAAGCTCTCCTTGCTAGCTGAGCCTAATATATTTCGTAACATTGCTTACGCCGTCATTCCATCTCCGCTGTTGGTTTATCTCGTCGCTTGTCTGATAGTTTGGATTTGTTATAAAGGCTGCGTCATCTGTTGCTACAAGGTATCGAAACGCTCGCGACTTTACATGACGGCAATATGATTCTATGACCCAACTCCCTCTCTCTCTTCCTTCTGTATTTATTATACTTTATGATTCATACAGTTAAGCACATACACACAAGTTTAATTATGATTATTATATAATGTACCATTATTATTATTTTTTTCATTAATGTTAAATCGTTTCATTCGTGTACATTACAAAGATGGAGAAATAGGAAATCGAAGTATAAAGTCCTATCGATATAATGTACGTTGACATTGGACACTATCAAGAGTGTAGTCCAACACTCTTTTGCCATATCAAAAGAACCAAAACCGTACGAATATAATGAATATGAAAATCGCTGCAACTATGGCCAGTTTTGCAGCCATCGATGTACTTAGGTTAAGCCTTCTTGCTTCTTTTCTAAATCTCTTGGAGCCATCAACAAGCTTGTTTGCTTGGTCACTTAAATCTGCATTGGCATAAAGTTGTATACAAAATTTTAAAAAATGAGTTGATACTCTTTTTTTTACTTTGTATAAGTTCTCCTCTTTGGATGACAGCATCAATATTATCAAACATGATGTGCTGGACCTCTTGTAAGTTGTGACTAAGTCCTCGTAGCTGGTTTGTCTTTCTCGAGTTACTTTCAGAGAATGTCCGCTTGATCTTCTCTATCTCAGTTCCTAGATAAAGAGAGAGGGGGGAGAGAGTGGAAAGCCAAAGAAGCAGGAAAAGAGAGATGAAAACAAAAAATATTATTGTCTTTAGTCTCTGAAAGCACACACAGTTAGCTTACCAAACTCAATGAAGTGGTAGGGACGAGTTGCTTTTGATATTTCAAGGCCATGTTGATCACTGAATGCCTGGCATACTTCTTCAAGGTAGCCGAAAGCAAGAGTAGGAGGATAAGAGGACTCACAGAGAACCAGGTAGCAAACACCACCCTCTATAATATAACTAGAGGAAGAAGGGGAAAGTATATTAGAATATTCTTGAACATTATTATTTATTATTAACATGAGTAGGTGATTTATGGGTCGAAAATGTAATTATTTAAGAGCAAAATTTTGAACTAATTATTACATGACACTCAACCACAAATTCAACAAAATAGAAACTACACTGACTACTATATTATAATTATAATCACTTGGTAATTCATTCAAAAATTATTACATTTACATATGCTATATTTTGTGTTCTTTTTCCATCTAAAATTCCCAGAATGCAACACAAAGTATCAATATTTAGAAGGTATTAATACTGATATCATACAATAGAATTCTCACTGGAAGACTAATGGTTCACTGTTGATGCTGCAGCGTGGAGGAGACTGGGGGGAGAGCCTTCTAAATATTTTCTTTGCTCTAGTTTGATATTCTGATAAATCCACAGACTATAAGGACAATAAAACAAAAAAGCCTGTTGCTATAAACTTACATGGTCATCATCTTGAATGGAGGCAGAGAGAGGGAGCCCGTCGGAGGCTCTAGCAAGGAGAGTGAACAGAGCCATTGTCACTTTGTTCCTGTAATAATTCAGTGATGGAAGGGTTAAAAATGAAGCCACGTCATGCATAAAGGACAGGAAATGAAATGAAACCAGAAGTGAAATAAAACTAGAAATAAAATGAAAACCAACATCAAAATTTTTTATAATTTTCAATTTTAAATTTAAAAACATTTCCAAGTTAATTTGGAAATGAAATGAAACTGGAAGTGAAATGAAACCGGAAATAAAATGAAACAGAAAATTAAAAAAAAATAAATTAATTTTTAATGAAATTCCTGTTTTTTAATAAAAGTTAATTAGCAGCACCTCACTTCCTGTTTCATAATTCATTTTTAATAAAAGTTAATTAGCAGCACCCCATTTCCTGTTTCATAATTCATTTTTAATAAAAGTTAATTAGCAGCACCCCATTTCCTGTTTCATAATTCATTTTTAATAAAAATTAATTAGCAGCAGCCCACTTCCTGTTTCATAATTCATTTTTAATAAAAGTTAATTAGCAGCACCTCACTTCCTGTTTCATAATTCATTTTTAATAAAAGTTAATTAGCATCACCCCATTTCCTGTTTCATAATTCATTTTTAATAAAAATTAATTAGCAGCAGCCCACTTCCTGTTTCATAATTCATTTTTAATAAAAATTAATTAGCAGCAGCCCACTTCCTGTTTCATAATTCATTTTTAATAAAAGTTAATTAGCAGCACCTCACTTCCTGTTTCATAATTCATTTTTAATAAAAGTTAATTAGCAGCACCCCATTTCCTGTTTCATAATTCATTTTTAATAAAAGTTAATTAGCAGCACCTCACTTCCTGTTTCATAATTCATTTTTAATAAAAGTTAATTAGCATCACCCCATTTCCTGTTTCATAATTCATTTTTAATAAAAGTTAATTAGCAGCACCTCATTTCCTGTTTCATAATTCATTTTTGAATAATTAATAATAATTATTATTGAATTTTAATTTTTAATAATTATTGTTAAGGCGGGGATTTGGGGAAAGAAACAGCTGACTTTAGGATTTAGTGTAGTACTTTCTCTTCTGTTCCTGAAATCGAGCTATGCCGAGGGGCAGGAAAAGAAAAGCTAACACAGGAGCTCCGGATCCCTCCACTGCACCAGATAAAGAGACAAGCACCGAGCCCCCAGCTAGCCAGACACTGCCAAACTGCCTTACTCAAAACAGTGAGGGGAGATTCGTCCCTCGTTTCTCTAAGAGACAAAAACAAGAATCAACTCAACCTCCACTTCTTTCTCCTCCCCTAGAAGGAACAAAAGAAGCCACAGATGATTCACATATACAAGAGGAAGCAATGCCAGTTCATATTTCTCCTCCTCCTCCTTCCCCTGGAAATGAGAAAGGTGGAGCTCTTTCTTTGATCGACAATGCCAAAGAAACAGAAATTAGTACGTCACTGAATAGGAAGGGAATTGTAGTACTAGAGGAAGTTATGATGAGCCAAAATGACAGCTCTGACAAAGTAAGCATCAAACAAAGGAGTGCAATGATGTAATAGTATTGTTCTCATAATAAAAAATTGAATTTTAAATATATATGTACATGGTACTAATGTACATGTATATTTAAAATTCAATTTTTTATTATGTATATTCAATTTTTATTATATTATATTATGCTTACGTTATAATAATTGTAAATGTACTTTACAATTAGAATTATTATTCTTTGTATGTAGAATGAGATTGAAAGAGAAACAACGAGCAAAATAGAAGAAATAATTGATATAGTCCCCAATATAGAGCCAAATGTAATACCTCAGAATGAAGAAGAGGGTCCATCAAATAATAGCGAGACTGTTAATGATGTACAACACTTAACTAGTTCCAACACTTCTACTGATAAAGATGTCATGATATGCAGTAGCCGTCCTCCTGATGATACCTGTAATGTCGTTCAATTATTGCAATCTCCATCTTCTACTACTCGTATTAATAGAGATGCTGCTGTTAGCTTAAATCAAGGAGCTTCGCTTTTGTTACCCTCAACCATTGAAGATGTTATCATTACGTGTGTTGAGGAAGACACTAATGCAAGTGAGGCTGGAAAGGAAGAGAGCCTTTTGATTGATGATGATTCTTTGGTTGATCTTGAAGCTATCGAAATAAAGGAGAGACAAGAGGATAATATTACCAATACTGACACTGTCAATGAACCTCACATCAATAGAAATACCACAATTACCACTACTAGTCCTCCTCTTAGCTATAATCCTAATATTACGGAGCCCACTGTTACTAAAAACAATACTATCGAGCTCATCAATAATCAGAATAATATTACACCTACTACCATCACTAGCTCTACTCCTATTCTTCAAGGCCCTCCTCCTATCACTGGTTTAGATGATCGTGTCACTACAATCGGTGATGATTGCATTGGAGAGACAGCTGTTCATAGACTAGATGATAGCCTCACTCTAGACGACATTGAGAATTTTGTTTCTCTCGATTTCAGTGAAGACCCCAATACGCTTCAAATACGTGACACTACCAAAGACAATAATTTTAAATTAAGTGTTAGCACTACAGGGCCTGATCAATCTTTATTGTCCATGAAGCAAAGGGAGTATGAATCAGCTCATAAATCAGTCGTAAGGTCACTTTATCCATCAGCAGTGGATCCATCATGTGTGCAGTCTTTTGATCATACACTAATTAATGATGTGGGGACTAGAGCAAAGGATTTGACAATGGCACAAGTACCTTCTATATCACCATGGTAATTATCTAATCCTCTGACTCTTTGTTCTTTTGATATAACCCCTTCTTCCTGTCCTTTACTCTCTCTCTCTCTCTAGTAAGCAGGATGGCCTCCGTCTCCCTGACAGCTCACAATTGTTGAAAGAACTGATAAACGAAATGACAAAACTAAAGTAATGAAAAACTTTTATACACATACATGTACCTTAACAACACATATGTATTCTCTACCCCCCCTCTCTCTCTCCCTTAGTCAATATGTACAGAAGTGTAGACAAGATCTGGAGGTTGCAAAGAAGCAAAGAGCCTCTTGGCTGAAACTACAACACAACAGGACCTACAGACAACCACACCAATATCACCAACACCATCACCAATACTGATATATACACTTCTGATCATAAACATGTACATATATGTGAACATGATCCTTATTATTACTGATTATATTGTACTGGATATGCTGGCATTATAATAACTATAAAAATTTATTATTAAAAAAAGAATTTTAAAATGTGTAACTTGATTATCAACGATAATAATCAGTTGTGGAAATTTGGGAGGTAGAAAAATAAAGTAATGCTGCTTGATGATACTACGTCATGATCTTTATAATGAGTATTGTAGAGAAGATTTAATGTGTTTTTATATCATATCTAATTATTTAATTATACCAAAAGTGGTTCAAATAATAATAACAGTGATCATTAGTGCAATTAATTAAATTATAATTTTTACTAATTAATTTAAAATGTTAGGTCACATGAGATCAAAGTCGTCTCTCTATAGAAAAAAAATAAAAATTTAAGACACAACAATGTACACGTATTTCATGTACATGTAAAGTACATGTACATGAATGTATTATTAGGGTGCACTGTGTACTCAAGCTATAGAGAATACAAATGTTAATTGTCAATACTATAAAAGTTTTAGCTGATTTGTTAACATTAAAAAAACAAACCAATTTCTAAAAAAATACCATGGGCAGGCTATATGAAAGTTTGGTTCCAATTTAATTTTTTAATTACTTTTACGTTTGAGCTGGTTTTATTTAACTTTTAGGTTTGAGTTAGTTCAAATCAAATTTGAATCCTATTACATTCTCATGAGTTAAGAGCACTTTAAAAATGTACATAAA